TAATATTTCATTTATCTTTTCTGATGAGAATGGTAAGTGTTCTGTAATTTCGCGGGGCAACAACGGGGTTACAAATTTTCTTTTAGGGAACTGCACATCCAATTTTGTGCCCCGCCTCAATCCTTCTTCTAAGAAAAATAGACTTGGTTTCGAGTGATCATGATGATGATGATTAGCAACTGGGCCTATCCCTCGAAGAACAGCATTTTCCTTCAATTGAGGGTCATAAGGTGTCTCATCTTGCGATGGAATTTCTTTGGAATCATCTTGCAACTGATTTTTCTTTACACCATCTTGTAATTCATTTTTCTTAATACCATAGCCATAGAAGTAAGGGAATTTCTCTTGTGATGAAATCTCTCCACCATCTTGTAATTCCTTTTTCTTAATACCATAGGTATAGAAGTAAGGGAATTTCTCTTGTGATGAAATCTCTTTGGCACCATCTTGCAATTGAGACACTTACATCTTAATACCATAGGCATAGAGAAATTTTTTAATTTCATTACATTTCCTTTTATGTTTCACTTACATCTTTTGTTCATATTTTATTATGAGTAACTTAGACAAAATCAAATTCGTGTCTTCCATAATTGTCTTTATTTGAAAAGTTTAGCTTGGCTGTTTGAAATTTTAAAATGAACTAATTAGTTCGAAACTCCATAAATTGTTGAGAGTAAAAGTTTACATGACAATTTGAGAGATTATTTGGAAATCCATAGTGACCATCAGTAAAATGTATAAATTTTATTTTCATATATTAAAAGAATATAATATTCCAGTGTTTCTAAAAATAAAAATAATATATATTATACATATAGTTTATATAATTTAACTAGTTTGAAAATTGTTACGGGTTGAAAAGTTAGAATAAATTTACAAATTTATTTTTTCTGAAAACAACAATAGATTTGCAACTAAAATAGAAAAGAATGTATAAGGATAAGATCTCTATAGAAGAGAATGGTGAACTAGTTGTTTTTTTTATAAATATAAAGGATATTTTAATAATAAACTTTTTAATGGAAGATAATGAAATTTTAAAGGACAACAAAATTTTAAAAAAAAAATTAAAGAGTCCTATATTCAAATATAGAGAGAAGATAGATATATTTCAATATGAACAAAAATTCTCAAAAGAACTATAGTGCCCTTAAAATGTATACTAACCTAGCTTGGAAAGTTCTCTGATTACTTTGGGGATTGGTGTGTTTGGAAGCATCCTTTCCCAGTAAACTTCTGGAGGTAAGGCAGCCTGAGCAGCCATCAGTATCACCTTTTCATACAAATATCCATAGCTTAAGTTAAATATATAAAAACATAATAGAAATGAGAAGAAATGTAAAACTAAGTTAAATCTCACAATGAGAGAAAAAAACAATGCAAGGCAGTGAAACTCCATAGCAGAAGCAAAGTGGTTAATGGTGAGAAGCTGATACGAAGAAACATATAAACTTCAAGAGATATTTATAGACAGGAGATAGAAACTTTGTAAGTGGGCGCCTGATTATGTTAGTCTCAGGTCCTCATTCCCTTAGTTTATCATACATATTTTAAAGGAATATTTGGAAGGGGAACTAGTTATTTTTCCTTCCTAAAGAGGAAATCCTCCTTTTACGTTGAGAAGCTAAATTAAAATATTTTCCTATACACACATACATACATAATAGATGCTAGCCTGGGGACCAACAAATTTGGGCACCAAGTTTCTTCCTCTGCTGTGATCGATATATGTTTGCTTAGTATCAGATTCCTTCAAATTTAACGTTTCTACCTGATTTTGTTGATATTTACAACTAGTCGTGTGGATTTGTTTTTGTATAGAGTCGTGCAAAGTTGGCGTTGCTAATTTTTTTACTCCATATGTTAATCAAAGCCAGAATACGTTGTAGTTTTCTTGGAACTGTCTAATTCCGTGTCATACAGAGAAATCAAAGCCAGATTATTAAAATAAAGGTGAATTTTCTAATTAGAACTAATGTTATTGGATTTGGATAGTACCGTTTCCATTTGCTTTTATAAAAGTTGTTCGATTATTAAAATAAACGTGAATTTTCTAATTAGAACTTTTAAATACAAAAGAAAATTAGTGAAGGGAAACATGAATTAAATTTCTTTTACCGGTGATTTGAATAAAGATGAATGAGATTGAATGGACAGGTGTTGGGTTTTTATAAAAGAAAAACCGAAACCAACATATGTAAGGCTGTTAGTGTTACAACTGTCTTGTCTTAACATTTATACTCTAATACTCCCTTATAAGACAAGCATCCAGGGAGATAACACCAATCTTCTTCTTCAGCAACTCAAAACGTTCAATCTTCATTGCCTTTGTAAGGATGTCAGCCATTTGTTCTTTAGTCCTCCAGTATGTTAGGGCAATTTTTCTTTTGCTCACCAAATCCCTTATAAAGTGATACTTTATTTCTATATAGTGATACTTTATTTCTATATGTTTGCTTCTTTCATGGCTTACTGGATTCTTGGATAGATTTATGGTTGAAATGTTGTTTATCCTTAGCTGTAGTGGAGACTTCATAGGAACCCCCAACTCCTTTAATAATTCTTCTAGCCACACATCTTAGCAAGCTGCAAAGCTTCCCGCAATATACTCTGCTTCACAACTGGATAAAGCAACTACCGATTGCTTTTTAGATCACCACGATATAGGTGCATGATTCAACAGAAACAAGTATCCAGAAGTGTTCTTCCTTTCTACTGGATCACCACCATGATTCGAATCAGTATATCCCACCAACTCTAACTCAACTTTCCTTCTTCCAATGGGGAATAGTATTCCATGATCAATTGTGCCTTGAATATACCTTAACACTCTCTTAGCAGCCAACAGGTGAGATTTCTTCGGACTCCCCATGAATCTACTGATCAAGCCAATACAAAAGGTCAACTCTAGTCTGCTGTTACAAAGAAACCGCAACGAGCCTACTATCTGCTTGAATCCAGTTTCATCTGTTCCCTCCTCTGATTCATCTCTCAATAATTTCAAATTTACTTCCATTGGATTCCTTGCAGCATTGCAGGATGACATGTTGAACCGTTTTAGCAAATCTTTAGCATACTTCTTCTGGTGCATTATCAAACCTGCATTAGTATAGGCGAACTCCATCCCTAGAAAATAACTCAATCTTCCTAGGTCTGTCATCTCAAATTCAGAAGCCATGATGCGTTTAAACTCTTCTATATGGTCAACATTTGATCTTGTCATGAGTAAGTCATCCACATACAAACATATGATCAATAGATTCTCACTTGTGCCTCCCTTCACATAAACTTCATGCTCTACAACACACCTTGTGAATTTGAGTTTGATGAGAAAGGAGTCAATCCTTTTGTTCCAAGCTCTAGGAGCCTGCTTCAACCCGTATAAGGTTTTATGCAGCCTATAGACTTGTGTTTCTTTTCCCTTTTCAACGAAATCAGGAGGCTGTTGGACATAGACCTCTTCCTCCAAGGGTCCATGAAGAAACGCAGACTTTACATCAAGCTGGAAGAGTGACCAACCTTGTGCACATGCCACTACAATTACCAATCTAATTGTTTCCATGCGAGCTACTGGTGCAAACACTTCTGAAAAATCCAAACCTTGTCTTTGAAGAAACCCCTTTACAACCAATCTTGCTTTATGCTTAGATACTGATCCATCTGGCTTAAGCTTCTGCTTGAACACCCACTTCACTTCTCTTCCCAGCTAGAAGATCAATTAACTTCCAAGTTCCATTTTTCTTAATGGAATTGATTTCTTCAATCATAGCATTTCTCCACACAGGTTTCTTTAACGCTTCATCCTTATCTATTGGTTCTGCTCCTACAAATAATGCCATGTGAACCAAGTCACCTTCATCACCAATCTGTGTGTCAGAGAGTACACTTCACATTCACTAAGTTTTTGTGGTAACATACGTTGTCTTCGTGGCCTAACAGATTCAGACTATGTCTCAGAATTGTGCAAATTGTCACTACTTCCAAAGGCTGCTTCTGGCTTAGTTGATATGAATTTATCAGTTTCTCCATGTATTATAGTTTTAGCCAAACTAGTTTGCCTCTGCTTCCAATTCCAACTCTTACCTTCTAGAATCATCACATCTCTACTCAAGATGACTTTTTTCTTTAATTGGATCGAAGAGCTTATAAGCTCCTATAGTGATACCCAATAAATATCATTACTTCACTTTTATCCTACAGTTTTGATCTTCTCTGATCTGGTACGTGTACATAGGCAAGTGATTCAAAGATCTTAAAGTGGCCAACTGTCAGCTTTGTGCCTGTCCATACTTCAAGCGGTACCAAACTACTATACTCACAAGGTGGAGAAGGCAAAGGCACCAAAAACTATTGGATGATGCATGAGTGATCCAGAATTTCCTCTTCTCCTTCTTCTTGGCGCACTGAGTGTCCGCGAACCCTCGTAGCCGGAGGGACTTCGGAGCGGGGTTCTCGCCGTGGTTCGAAACGGCGTCGTGAAACTTTCCAGCGCTGTTGTTGGCGTGGTTCCGTGAAGGACCAGTTCCGATCTCGAGCGCAGACTTGGGGAGCGCGGGTTTGCGGGGTCGCAAGTTCCACAGCTTTTGCACAGCCTCCTCGGCGTCCTCGATGTCGCGCTTCGCAGCTTCGTCGTTAGTTTCATCGTTGCACGACGGCGCCTGAAGTGGTTGTGGTGGTGGAGCTAGCGGCTTGAGGGAGCAGGTAGGGAGTGCGAATCGGTTGCGATTGGTCCTGGATCCAAGGCGGTGGGGGCGGGAGTCGAGGTCGGAATCAGGTTCGGAGGCGTGATCGGAGGGGTGGGAGGAGGGGCGGCGACAGCGGTGGTGATGCGCTGCGTTGGTGTGGTGGTTCTTGCCGCTGGCTCCCCATTTCAAGAAGGGAAGGGCGAACTTGTGCAGAGGCTGGGACTTCACCGGAGGCTGCGCCGGTGCGGTGGACATTCGGAAACGCAGAAAGCTCTGGAAGCTGGGGGAGGATTGTGTATTTGGAAACGGTGTTGTTGGGAATGAGAGTAAGAAAATGGGGGAAAAGGAAGAAGAGAAGAGGAAACGCTCACGGAATGTTTCATTCGAAGAGGGAAACTAAACCCTTTAATCCAATTTCTTGAGCCCTTTACCGGCGGCCCACATCCTTCGGAAGATCCNGCTTTTGCACAGCCTCCTCGGCGTCCTCGATGTCGCGCTTCGCAGCTTCGTCGTTAGTTTCATCGTTGCACGACGGCGCCTGAAGTGGTTGTGGTGGTGGAGCTAGCGGCTTGAGGGAGCAGGTAGGGAGTGCGAATCAGTTGCGATTGGTCCTGGATCCAAGGCAGTGGGGGCGGGAGTGGGGGTCAGAATCAGGTTCGGAGGCGTGATCGGAGGGGTGGGAGGAGGGGCGGCGACAGCGGTGGTGATGCGCTGCGTTGGTGTGGTGGTTCTTGCCGCTGACTCCCCATTTCAAGAAGGGAAGGGCGAACTTGTGCAGAGGCTGGGACTTCACCGGAGGCTGCGCCGGTGCGGTGGACATTCGGAAACGCAGAAAGCTCTGGAAGCTGGGGGAGGATTGTGTATTTGGAAACGGTGTTGTTGGGAATGAGAGTAAGAAAATGGGGGAAAAGGAAGAAGAGAAGAGGAAACGCTCACGGAATGTTTCATTCGAAGAGGGAAACTAAACCCTTTAATCCAATTTCTTGAGCCCTTTACCGGCGGCCCACATCCTTCGGAAGATCCTTCGATAAAAAAAAAATTACCGATGGCCTATAGGCCTTCGATAAATACCCGCCGGTAATTTTAACATTTCTTGTAAGGAAACGGGAATCATAATGTTACATAATATTGTCAATCGCATTCTAGATTTTAATAATTTTAATTCAACCCCTCATCAAATTAAAATATTTTAGGTATTTATAGGAGAACCTTTCATGAAAATTATACTTAATGTTAAACTTAACATTAACATATCACTTTACAATTTTAATTAATCAAATGACCTTATCACATTTAAATAATATATGTGACGCAAAAATTTTAACAATCTCTGGTCACATATGTAACATTACAATGTTAGACTCTTTCAGTTCAAAGTTTGTCATTATGTTTCTTAGATATAACTAAATAATTTTGTCTATTAATTATATCATTACATAGAACTGAAATGATTTCATTATATTAATCATAATTAAATCCAACAATAATTATTAATATTGATAACCAAAACATAGACTCATCATAAAATATATAGCATGAAAATCACCTTAAAGTGACTTATAAATGTCAATTTTTAACTAGACGTACTTTATCTTAGATCAATCAAACAAGATTATTATACCCCAATTTTCAAATTTATCTATTTTCGTAATTACTATACCAAATTTGTCTAAATACTTAAAAAAACAATATTACATTATTCCATAAAGGAATAACACAATTTCACATAGATACACACAGTAATGTAGGTCACATGCCTTCTTA